GGTTGGCGCGGGGCTAGCAACTCCACCCCGTAAAAACCAACCTGCTACAAGTAACTGCAACAACACCTTCCGTTGGCGAGGTGGTGTTACGGTCCTATGCTCCACTGGGAGTTTACAAGAATAATAATTATAAAAAAAAACAGGATATCAGTTAACCTGGAGATTTATTTTGCTTTCATGCGAAAAGCTTTTTAGGCCATACACTGAATTCAAAGTCTTCAATTTTCTGCAGCTAAAATAAATATTTCTACTTTCAATATTACAACATCCACACGTTGCTATGGTACAAATAATTGCGTCACTGATTTATCTATTTTTGCCTATTTGCACTTAAATAACCCCTTAATTTAAACACTTTAAGAAAAAATCTATTGTCTGCTACAAAATACAGACGTCATCAATCATACCACAAATTCTTGAATGTGTCAAAATTTAGCACATGACTCATTCTTATCAACCCTACTGCATTCCAGGTAGGCTACCACTTTTAATCACTGAAACCACCCAAGTTCAAAATATAAGTTGAACCCCCCCCTCCCTTTTTCTCAACTATTTATGTGACTTTTTTTGTCGCCCCTTATGTCAGTAGCCATATCTGTTTTATCAGATTTACATGTTTTTGTCCTATACTGCAAGAAACTGTATTTTTAGGAAGTATTCTTTCAAGATATTCCTGTGGGGAGCACTTTCTCTCTCGGGATCTCCTAATGGGCACGTGCCTTTGCCACACGCATGTCTCTTTTTTTTTAGTTTGAAAAATTGACAAGTATGCTTCTTTCCTTTTATTGTTAAGCGAAAAGATGCACAATGGGCTAGTTTTGCTGTGAACACCGAGGGTATCGAAACCCGATATTTAACGTTATACATATAAGCTCTCAGATTTACCACTGAGTCACCGGGGGGGGGGGGCAAGTATGATGAAAGGTCTAAAATAACAATCCGTTTAGATGGTTTGTTTCATTTCTGTACCTTACAAAAGCTTGTATACCAGAATATATCACTAGTCACCACCTTATACCTCACTTAATTAAGTTACAGCCAGAAAAAAATATTTTTTTTATGAAGTTAAAGTTGACGTCGTGATTTAAAACAATGCTTAATACAGTCATTTTTATTATAACCCATAAATTCTATGTGTGTGTTTACAGGGTTAGGAAACAATGAACACATAAACAAGATTACTACCCAATTTTCCATCGATCCTGCTACGAATTTCTTCTTATCCTTCTGAATCTACTTTTATATGGAACATAAAATAACTCAATTTATCGAAGCACCACAGGTACACATTACCAGTCTCACACTGAAAGAAGACAGACCTTGGAGCCCTAACAAAGGAACAGATGGTGCAGTTGAAGCCTGACTAACTGCTGATCGTATCAGTAGTTCAGATTGCCATCCTGAAGAGATCACGGGTCCAGAAAACTGACATTGGAAACCCCATTCACTAATGGCTCTCCAAAAGGCTTCAAGCTGAGATTTTTTTAATGTTCCTTACAGGGTTTATCAATAGGTAATAGACCACGTGAAAAAACAACAAAACAAACAACAACTGTAAATGAGTCATAACTGACTGCAACCCCTGCCAAGTAAACAAGTAATATATTTATACGTGTACGCACACATTAACTCCGTGATCAACAATATACGCCCTCTATCCCTCCTACACTACTACTACTACTTCTGTCATCAACAAAAACAACTGTTTGCAACTTCTCTTTATACCTTTGAGCCACGCCTTCCACCCACAATTGGGTAACACGTTTTGTAAACTAACATTATATACAGCATTCTTCTTCATTATTATAATTCATTCAACAAAAACTACCGAGTTAACAAACTTCACATAACAAAACTACCGAGTTAACAAACTTCACATAACAAAACTACTGAGTTAACAAACTTCACATAACAAAACTACCGAGTTAACAAACTTCACATAGATATGTAGAGCATGCTCATGAATAACATTTTTAATTTAGTTTTTTTCAAGAATAATTAGAAAGCAACAAATTATAGAATATTCATAAATTGTGGCTGTTGAAACTATTGTTTATACTACAGAGTTCCCAATTCATGCTTAAGTCAAAATAGGCTCTAACTGGCCAGATAAATAAAGGTTTTTCTACCTAATTTATTTGGCAAACAACAAATTTTCCAACGTCAACCACTTATAGTATTACAGTATTAATGGGGCCAAAACTGAATTTTTACGTGTTTTTTTTGCAAAGAATATTTACCAATTCAACAGGCTTTTGTAACAAGTTTTATTACCGTTACAGTGAAGTACTTCATCCTTCTGTTACGAGTTTTATTTACCGTTACGGTGAAGTACTTCATCCTTCTGTTACAGTTTTTATTTACCGTTACGGTGAAGTACTTCATCCTTTTGTTACATGTTTTTATTTACCGCTACGGTGAAGTACTTCATCCTTTTGTTACATGTTTTTATTTACCGATACGGTGAAGTACTTCATCCTTTTGTTACAGGTTTTTATTTACCATTACGGTGAAGTACTTCATCCTTCTGTTACAGGTTTTTATTTACCGTTACGGTGAAGTACTTCATCCTTTTGTTACAGGTTTTTATTTACCATTACGGTGAAGTACTTCATCCTTCTGTTACAGGTTTTTATTTACCGTTACGATGAAGTACTTCATCCTCTTCTCCAAAGTCCTTTTTTATAATATTATTACGAAAACATACAAATACATACACGTGTGATTCAGGTTGGTTAAAACAAATATAACTTTGTATATGTTTTACACATAATTTTTACCGCGAAAAAATTAGTACCACTTTCAAAACATAAGATTTTAGTAGGTTTTTCTTATAGGTTCACTAATATCGACATATTATCTTCGTAATATGAAAAGAATCACTGTATTACAGATTTTTCTTCTCCTGACAGTCACAAAGGCCAAACTTTCAGAGGGGTCCTTTACTTATTGCTTACCTGAGTAGTAGAGGCGTTGAATACAATGCCTAGGATGGCACATAAACCCAGTCCTGCTGCTACTGACAAAGCAACCAGCATGACTCCAGCAAGTCCAATTCCACTCTGAGAATTCACAGCGTCCGTCCATTTCAGTAAGGACGCACAGGCGTAAACTAACTGTTGGGGAAAAAAAAATACAGTTTGGAATGTATAATCTATACCTTAAGGAAGTCAAACTTATAAATCTCTACTTTTAAAATTTGTTCAAGAACTTATTATTAAAGAAGGGCCACGATCTCTGATCATTGAAATGTAGAACTTTAATATTTTTTTTATTACATTAAATAAATAAAACAAGTTTCATTACAATTATAATATATATATATACACACACACGCACTTTATCAGTGACTTAAAATTTTTATATGTTTACTTTACCAGTGATTTAAAAAGAGATTCTAACGCTGTATGTCTGTTATATATGACGCCAGTGTTACAAATCGGTCCGCGTTCTAATACGTAGGAAGCGAGTTCTTACCATTAGGATGTATCCCAGTGCTACACGAGTCACGCTCATTTCAGAAAAATCTTTCAGAATATCAGCCAGAGAAGTTGTAGAGAAAGCATTGATGTTGTAATGTCTGCTCTGATTGGATGCCTTTGTGATCGTAATCACCTCCTATTGCATTCAGAAAAAGATATTGAAGCTCCTACACACTACTATACAGTTTTGTAGAAATACTTTAGGTCAGACATACATTATATTCATAAGCAAATATCAATTTTTTATTACTTATGTTTTAAGTGGCAACGCTAAACATAACATATATCTAATATACAATATAAAATATTATTTTACTCTCTATTTCAATTTCACCTCAAATACATAAAATTGTTTATAAAATGAGTAAGTTCTACTTACCGAACTTCTACACAGCATGCATCGAAACACAGAAAACAAAAACTGGTTAGGCTTAACTCCACGAACATCAACATTTACAGTTCATAGTTATCAACTGATATACAAGATTTTTTATAACATTACGGAAATACCAACAACATATTCCTAAGTTATATTGTGTGTACCACAGGAAATAAAAAAACAATAAAATAACGGAATATTTATTTTACTCACCTCTGTAAACTTTCTCTGCCAAGTTTCTAATACTAGTTTTGCTTTGGCTACATCCCAGCCAAGATTGTGGACTTTGTAATGGTCTTTCCAGAATTCGAACATTTCTTTCTCGCCCATCAGTTGCACTACTGACTGTAAAGCTTCCGCTCTATCGGTAAAAACAAACAACAACAATGGTTTACTACGTGTACGAAATAAAAAAATATAAATTAATGTGTGTTTTCTTATAGCAAAGCCACATCGGGCTATCTGCTGTGTCCACCAAGGGGAATCGAACCCCTGATTTTAGCGTTTTAAATCCGAAGACTTACCGCTGTCCCACCGGGGGACTATAAATTAATATAACTACGAAACACAATAAAAATAAAAACGTTATAAACAATATTAGTTATTTTGTATATAACTACAATTATAACAAGTTTATCAATTTCAAGCATTTAAGGAAATAAACATTATAGAAATGAAATAAGACTTTTTTTCATACAATAAAAATTTTGTTCTTAGTAAATCCGCGTTCGTTACATTGCTAATTTCCCATACAAACATATCTGGATTTTGTATATCGATTAATTAATCCTACAAACGCGGAATAAGGTATGAACTCACTTTACGATGTATCCACTTTTGTTTTTCAAGACTCCTCCTACAAGCAGATCTTCTGGCCAGTGCATATACTTTGTAGCAAACCCGTAACACCCGCCAGTTAGTTCGTAACCAATATCCGGGATCTGTAACAGAATTCGAACATGCATATCACTTGACTAGCTACCACCAATAGACAACATTTAATATAAAACAGCTTTAAATTACGTTTGATTTAACGGATTATTAGAATTTTAGGTCGTTTTTAATCCTGCGCTTATTTACCAATAAAACTAACTCTTCAACGGACTAGATTGATCTTGATGGACATCACTCTGTAATACCACCCGAAATAACTGACGTATGACTAGATGTAGTTCCGCAAGGTCCCCGAAAGTTTTCTGTTTCAAGAATAAATAAAATCCAAAATTAAGAGAAACAAATATTTTTATTTCTTGCTTTTAAAGTTCATATGCCATGCTGTATTGTAACCTTATGGATGCATAATTCTTCTCGTGATTCATGGCACGCGCATGTTTACTGACGTCACGACAGTACAAATTGCAACGTGAAGCGTCCCTTATGTGATGTCATTTTAGTGTCTATTGACTGACTGACAGACAACATATTACTGTATGGTGGTGGGAGTGGTTAAAACAGGTGACCCCTCCAGGCCGCCTTCGGTCCCCTTCGGGGAAATAATATCTGATTTACGTTTCTCAGGTGTAAAAATAAGTCGCAAATTTCGTGAAATTTATGGGACTACATTCTGCATATTTTACCCTAATTCTGATGTGTTTCGACGTAAAGAAAAGTGATGGAAAATATAATTCAATAACTTAATCCAGTTTACGCTGTAACAGTTATCATCAAGCGACTTGTTGATATAAATAGCGTCTCAAACGCTCATGGTTTTATCGTATCACCGTCGACCTGAAGTACCATGGTATTGAGCGAAAAGCCTCTTTGGCTCTAGTTATAGCAGATTTTGTGTGGTCGACATATTATTATACGCTTTTCTTTACTTTCACTCTGAAGTCCTTATTAAGAATTAATCCTAAAATCAAAATACAAAACACACACACAAAAAAAAGTTTGCAACTCTGACATATGACGAGTGTACTTGTTCCAAACACCGACTGTGGGGATATCTCTGGTGTTCACTGAATTATTTTAGGAAAATTAAGCAATACAAGAGTATTAAAAATTATGAGTTTTAAAATGAAGTAGGATTCTGCTATAAAAATTAATGAAACAAGAATTAAAACCACGATAACAAATTTATAAAATGTAATCCCAACTTTGGAAGCTTTACGCATTTATCTGTAGCGATTTGATATAGCGTTAAAAAATACCAGTACCCAAGAACCCAGTACGAGTTATTTGGTCTTTGATCTTGTCTTTTTCTTTAGTACTGTGACGCCTTTACGTTTAACTTTTCCTGGAAAAATTAACTTTTGTAATATCACTGATTACCGTTTTTTGATTAATTGGGGAACGTATATTACAAAACTAGAAATCACGAAGCAAAAACTTATAAGGGTATATTAGGTATTAAAAATAAATATTAAAACTATCAGGTAAGTAACAGATCCGGATATATTTTATAATTAGTGGAAATACATTTACAAATACGTATACATATGAAATATTTCTCACAACAGAACAAAATAATATGAACAAGGTACAATGAATAAACGTAGTAATCTTGAATGTCCTAAGATCACAGTTCTTACGTAGATTTTATTATGACATATGATGACATGAAAAATCTTCAAACAGCAAATTTCATTCTCTCCTAAATTTTACAAAAACCATCAAGCTATGCTTAATAAAAAAATTAGGCTTAGTCTTTTAGGTACATTGTATCACATTAATGCTTCACACAATAAAATATTTTAAACATAAACTTGAGTCGTAGTTGAAGCTTAAAAACGTAAATTGGTTTGATTCAATAAAAAAATTACGTTTTGTGTTTAGTAACGCTGTATATCATTAACTATTTACATAAAATAAATTAACAAGTTGGTTAGGCTTTAAAAAATTAGGCTTAGCTCTTTGCCTCATTGCATGACATAAATGCTTTAAATATAATGCAATTAAAACTTCCAATCAGAGCAATCTATGTATTTCGAGCGAAACTAAAGATCAACCAGGCAATCAGTATAGCTAATTAAATCTATTTTTCTTGCGCTTCTACTTATCATGTAGTATACTTTACTTAGGAAACACACACACACACACACACATATCAGCTGTAGCTGTTATTTCGAGAAGATTTCTTAAACTGCCTTTATATTTCCTACCTGATGTGACCGCTTATTAGGAGCCGATTCTGGGCAAAATTCATCTGTTGGGTCTAAACATGGTTTTTCTTGATACCCTGTGGTAATCCCTGCCTGATTTTAATAAATGAAAAAATATTAATTCCTCACACTAAATTTAAAAAAACTAACTTACAGCGTTTTTTAACTGAGGGGTCAACAAATTAATCATTAAACAAGTTAAATAACAGAAGAAAAACTGATAACCAAACACATCAAATAATGTTTAACAGTGAAGTTGACGGTTGAATTCTATTTCAATCATGAACGAGGTCGTAGATACAGTTAGACCTTCAGCACTTTAAATATTTTCATTTCGTATTAATGCACTATAACTTCAATTTTGCTGTTTAATGTCTTAACATATTTACGTGTATAGTTTTTATTTTACATGCAAATTTGAACGCCTGTATAGAAAAAGAACAGCAGGGCGGTTTTACGTTTCAGACAAATCCATCTCTACTGACCAGAGGGAGGCCAATTAAGTTAGCAGCACTCGCCGCCTAAGCGAGTTCAGAGGCTTATTGTGGTTCCAATCTTAGACATTTTGATCCGCGGCCCAGTGCGCTAATCGTTATGTCACAATTCATTATAGGCCAAGCACAGTCCAGCGTTAGCGTGCTGGACCGTAAATCTGAAGTTCCTTGGTTCGCGTCCCGTTATTGGCGGAAAAAAATCGCACCCCGCACTTTCGGGCTGTAGGTGTGTTATAACAGTGATGGTTAAATCCCACCATTGGATTAGAACAGCCCACGATTAGTCGTTTACTAGGTATGTTATGTACCTTCCTTAGGTATATCACAAAATTGAGGGCATTTAGCCCGCACGTAGCTGTGTGCAAAATTAAACACACAGACAACTGCGATTCATTAGAACGTTGAGTGATATTCACTCTGTATTTGTCAATGTTTTTCTTTCAAATACAGCTGACAGAATAGCTTCACTAACTCTTTTGTTAAGATACAAACGAAAGACCCTTTCCGAAAAAACGTTTCGTCACACAGAATGGGATTTTAAAACTAAAAAGAACATTTTAAGTCACGCATAAGTTGTCTTTACAATAATACGAGAAAATAGAATAAAATGTTCACTCACAAAAACGTTCGTGAAATTTTGTATAAAAAAATATACATGACAGAGAGTAAACTTAATTTGAAACGAACAAACCCCATCATTCAATACTATACATCCTGATGTAAAATTACCTGTTTGAATTTTTGAAAATGGTGTGTATAAGTACTAATATTGAAAGATATTAACGTCCAAAATTGAAGAAAACGAAACGCCCTTCATACTTCCAATTATAGCCCATGAGTAAGAGACTGAAGATCAGGAACATATACCAAGTATATATATTTTTCATATATATCAGGTTCCTAAAGTTCGTGAGCGAATGAACTTGTGAATGAACTGATAACGTAAGCTTCGGTTCCCCTTTCGATCGGTTTATCTTCGACATCTCTATAACGTTTCGTTTCATATGACTGTCAAGGCCGAAACTGGTCATGATAACAATTCGTAATTTTGCATCTCGCGAATGAAGCTTGACTGCTTTTTGTGTTGTTTTGGTTTGTAGATAAGCACAAAGCTACACAAAGGGCCATCTGTGTTCTGCCCACCACGGGTATCGAAACCCGGTTTCTAGCGTTGTAAGTCCGCAGACATACCACTGTGCCGCTGGGTGGGGGTGGGGGGCGCAAAAGACTGCTTTTTTAAATTATTTGTCTGAATAAGGTGTGAAATAGAGGGAAGACTTGGAGGTTGATGTGTTAGAAAGTTTTAACAAATTCCGTAACCAAATCTAGTTTTACTAGCTCATTATAAACTATATGTGACGGTTTATATTTATACGCACAGGTTGGTTTTTTACTTCGAAACTACCAATCCAATTCATAAGCGTCCTCATCCTATTCTCTTTCGAATATATTATGAAATGGATTTAAGTTGTTGTTTTTTTTTCCTGCAAATACATTTTTAAACTTTATCAAAAACGAATTTAGGAAACCTTCAAAATTTTTATGCAACACTTGCTACCAACCATACGCCACTTTAGAAGACAGAGTCATTGGAATGACCTCAGGACGGCTATGGTTACGAGTGGAAATTTAATACCATTTTCCTTTGGTGGGTGGTCTCAGCCTCTCCCACCTTTCGTTGCCTCCTCACGCACAAGAGGGGGAGGGGGAGAGAGGATACATTCTTTTGGTGCAAGGTCTAGTGGGACAGGCATACGGGTCGGCGTCACCGAGAATGTCATATTCTACTTGATTGCCTGCTTCCTGTTTATTCTCCTGAAACGCCATAATTTATGGGAAACTGTGAGTAAATAAGCGGGGAAAGGAGTATTTCCTTCCCCGTTTACCCATTGCGATCCTACAGAATTAAAACTTGATAACGAGGAACCCACTTTTAAGAAAATAAGAGTTTTGAGACGGCTTGACTGGGTAATGAAAAACTTTATTATAAAGGTACAACGTATCTGAGGATGACAAAATCTTGTCGAAACGTCGTACTGTTATAATAAAGTGTTATATTTAACAGATTAGTTCTAGACACTTCGATAACGTTTGAGTAGACTACACGAACAAATCTATTTAAAGAAACTACTCTTAAAAGATAGACATTGGCTGAAAATATGTATAATAAACCGTACACTCAAGTTTAGCAGAATATGGAAACCACCGTAAGTAAATACCCACCTGTTGGCGTTTTGGAGAACCAAAAGTATAAAAGTAGTTTAACAATTACAAAGACACCACATCGTAATTAGGATGGTCCCTTTGTGGCTGAGATAATCTTGTTTCTGTATAAAAATGCATATTTTCATAAACCTCCACTGGCGCTTGTGTACGAAGGTAGAGGTCGAATTAAAAAGACAAATGCACACTCGCGCGAGACGTTCATTTTCTTAAAACAGTAACTTCAACAGTGGTTCTCAACTTTTTTTAACCCATGGACATCTTCACAAACCAACACCCCCTTTATTGTATAAACGCATTTAATAGAATACACCCCCTTTATTGTATAAACGCATTTAATAGAATACACTTCCGTTTATCATTTTATTTTTGGATTATAATACGGACACTCGATTTTTACCGTCGTGGGCTCACTTTATACTTAACAAAAAAAGAAAAACCCGAAATAAAGAGGAAACATACGAAATTTTGGTGCACTTGTTTTAGAACAAAGCCACATTGGGCTACCTACTGTGTCCACCGCGGGTAATCACACCTCGGATTTTAGCGTTGCAAGTCCGTAGACTTATGGCTGTCCCACCAGAGGGACCCATACGAAATTGACTGAATGTAAAGAACTTGAAAGTTCTGTAGATGAATGTTACAGGTTAACATAATATGGCGTGGCTATAAATGAAAATACAACACCCAGCAATTTGTGAAAAAAAGAACTATATTGTTGAACTGTAATTAAATCAATGCTCCCGTTAATCTTTTGTAATCATGTAATCTGGTTTAGATAAAACAATAAAAAAGAAATTATAACAAACTGTATAGGCCTCACTGATTGGCTAATATAATCAGGAATCATTTGATTCAATACATACTAATGAGTAACACTGACGAAGTACTACTACTGTTTTGGTTTTAGACTTACAGCTAACCTTTTGATACAACAGCTATTATACTAAGAACCAAACCGATCGTGAAATACGGTTACAAACTATTGACATAATACGTTTTTAACACAATGCGTAAAAATTATTCTGTAATGTTGAATTATTTTTGTCTTTACTGTTGACCATGAGAACGTTTAATAAAACCAAACCTTATTTAGTTTAAGTATTACACGTCCTGTTCAATAGAGGACATACCATTAAAAATATACATCTGGAAAATCAATAATTACGTTCTCTTCCAAGCTTCTGAAATTCTCTTCGGACTATTTATTATATTTCAATTATTATTGTATCGATTCAAGTTTTTAACTTCATTCTTTCTTGATACAGGAAAGAAACAAATGTTAAATAAAGATGCTTTGTAGAAATAACGCAAATTTTGTTCTGCACAAAGAGATTGATTTCTACAAATGGTTAAATACAGCCCAAAAAGTCTTGTGACACATGACATAATTTTACCTGAAATCGTAATTCTAAGACTTATTTTTGTGATATAAAACAACCAGAAATACTTTTATCCTTCCACATACATTATAAGTATATTGATAAAAATATACTATTACTTTGGACATAAAGAGACTAATGGTTCTGACAAAACTGTGCGTTCATAGAATAGATAGAACAGTTAAAAGTATTTGTTAACTTTGATACTTTGAAAGAATTGGAAGAGTTAAAAGTGTTTGTTGACTTTGATACTTTTGAAGAACTGGGACAGTTAAAAGTATTTGTTAACTTTGATACTTTTGAAGAACTGGGACAGTTAAAAGTATTTGTTAACTTTGATACTTTTGAAGAACTGGGACAGTTAAAAGCAATTGTTAACTTTGATTCATTTAAAGAACAGTTGATGGAAATATAGACTGTTAAATGCCTTAACATGTTAATCCAGCAGAGCAAAGACAACGAAACACCAATTAACCAACTTAATCCAGCAATAGAAAGACAATGACACACCAATTAAACAACTTAATCCAGCAATAGAAAGACAATGACACACCAATTAAACAACTTAATCCAGCAATAGAAAGACAATGACACTCCAATTAAACAACTTAATCCAGCAATAGAAAGACAACGAAACACCAATCAAACAACTAACTTCAACAGTACAAAGACAATGAAACACCAATCAAAGAACTAAATTCAACTGTACAAAGACAACGAAACACCAATCAAACAACCAAATTCAACTGTACAAAGACAACGAAACACCAATCAAACAACCAAATTCAACAATACAAAGACAATGAAACACCAATCAAACAACCAAATTCAACTGTACAAAGACAACGAAACACCAATCAAACAACTTAATCCAGCAATACAAAGACAATGAAACACCAATTAGTAGTGAGTAACAATAAGATGTTTTGCACTAACTATTTATACAAACAGAAAAAAAACAAAAACACCAGTTATATTAATTGTCACTGAATATATTTAATTTTTATATTTTCAGCAACTATGGCCAGAAGTAAATTGTAACATGGAAAATGGCTTGATGTGAATGAATTAAAACTCTTTGAGTGTAAACCATACACCAAGTCATCTTCCACACCTAGAGTTATATAAAGTTTCACTGGGCAACAACCTCTTCCATCAACCCAGCTATTGCTGACTCTGCTCCAGAGTGTTCCTCACCTTGTCATGATATCAGCTTTGTGCCTTTTGTAACCTTATAGGTTTTTCTCATTTTATAATAAAAAAAGTATATCTTTTCCATTTCTGGTTTCATATACAAATTCTACAGTTTGTAGCTGTGTATGTTTAATTTCATGAACCTTTCAAATACAGTGAAACTATAAAATTCTTCACATCTGTTAAAGAATTAAAAACAGATTGCAAGTTAAGGTAGAAAATTTGAGCCCTTTTTTTATTTTTTTTTGGAAAATTATGCTTACATCAAAAGGTCCGAGTTATTAAAGTAATTATTTCTGATGGAAAATTATATCATTGTCAAACATGGGAGCTACTTAACTTTTTCATGAAGTCTTAAGTTCTATCATTGGCAAACATAGATACTACTTACCCTTTTCATGAAGTCTTCAATGTATGGAAAAGGAAAAGAATTTACATAATTTTGAAATTTTTTCATTGTCTCCACGAGACGATGTGGATTTAAGTTTGTCCACTTCACACTTAAGCCTAATCCCCTGAAAAAGGCAACATACTTGATTTGAATTATATTTCTTAAAACTCTGTTAATATTAGGACTAGATATCAGAATAGTACTGTGATTTGTAATTGAAATGTTTAAAAATTGAAACAGTTTTATTACACATTAAAACTCCACTTCATACTAGTTAACAATGATTGTTTGAAAACAAAAAATTAAAGAAATAGTTATGAACTTCAACAATAATTCGTGTTAACTTCTAATTGCATTTAAATTATACCACGGGGTAATTTTCTAAGTATAACTTTCCAATCCAAAATCTTGGTTACAGCCCTGCCAATAAAATGCACAATAACACATAAATCAATATTTTAGCTGATTGTCTATAGATATCTAATACACAAAGTACAGATAATGAGCTAAATGATACATATATAATACACAAACTTCAGACAATCAGCTAAAATATATAGATATCTAATACACAAAGTACAGATAATGAGCTAAATGATACATATATAATACACAAACTTCAGACAATCAGCTAAAATATATAGATATCTAATACACAAAGTACAGATAATGAGCTAAATGATATATATATAATACACAAACTTCAGACAATCAGCTAAAATATATAGATAGATATACAATACACAAACTACAGCCAACCAGCTAAAATATATAGATAGATATACAATACACAAACTACAGCCAATCGGCTAAAATATATAGATAGATATATAATACACAAACTACAGCCGATCAGCTAAAATATATAGATAGATATATAATACACAAACTACAACCTATCAGCTAAAATCCCTATTCAGCAAGATAACTGGTCATCCTAAGACGACCTTTCAATTTCACAGTTTGTTGTGGTTCCTTTTTATGTGGAATAAAAATTCTCGACTTGAGGAGAGAATAACTAAACGCATATTTTAAGGCTCAATGAACTGCGATCTGATTGGACCTAGCAGACGGGGAAATTAAGCTCACATAATAATATTCTAAATGATGATTTGATTCTTCACCTGTTACCTGTTCTCCTCATACACCATGACTAAGGAAGGACTCTCATACATAGAAGATAACGCCGCCAAGTAAAAATAATCCACATTTTACGATTCTAACCAAGGCCACCACGAGAGCCACCAGCCCCCCACACTGTGCAGCTGTTTCTCAGACTGCTGTAGGTAGACACCAAAGCAAGTGCTCGCATTTTCAAAGGAAACATATATATACATAAAGTGAGTCATATGAATATAGACTGAAAAAACTACCGGGGCTGTATCAGACGGTGTCAGAGGATGTTGAATTATAGAAAGATAAGCAGAAAGGCGGAAGATGTACCTTCCCGGTGGAGACTGTTACTAAATATGCAGTTTTTTTACAAGGCTTCACTGAGGGGGGCAAATGAACCTTCTTGATAAAGCCGTCAGATTGACAATGCAGACTGAGGCACTTCTGTTTATTGTTACAGGATGAACTTTAACAAGGAATGAAGACGTACTGTAAATTCTGAGGGAATTAAACAATTGTATATTAGTTAAAAACAGAGCATCATAAAAAATACCTAATAACGTCTTTGTTATACGAAGTTTCTCCCTGAAGAATTAGGCCATACTGGGGTTCAAAATCTTAAAAACAAACAACTTAATAATGGCTGGAGACGGCTTGAATGTGTAATAAAGAAAAACTTTAATATAAGTTTAACATAACTGATGATGACAAAA